TTCTATAACAGAAACGTTTTCAATTTTTGTGAAAAAAAAAAGATGAGACATATAAGATATATTATTTAATATTTTTATTCATAATAAATTGCCATATGCTAAATATATTATATATCAAATAATAAATGTATACATCATGCATATACATGTATTTATATAGGGATGGCAAAATCCTCATATTCGGCGGGTCCTCGCCCCACCCCGCTCCTGTTATGGTGGGTTTGGGGACATATTTATGTAAATGGGGAGGGGATGGGGATTATATTTAAAACCCCGGCGGGAGACGGGGCGGGGCCGAGGGAGAGTAACCCCGTCCCTCCTCTCCCCATTTATAGTGCATTTTTACAAAACTGCACTTACATGTTTATAAAATATTACTAAATTACATACCTATATATATAATATATTCACTTCTGAAACCCTAAATCTATTCCCTTGCAGCATACTCGTTGTTGGAAGAATGTTATTTGTTTTGATTGATCATATTGAAAATTTCCAGACTATTCCAAAAAATGCTATATGTGGTTTTGCTATAAGTTTGATCGGGTTGAAATGATATGTTTTAAATTGTTATAATTGTGTTGAAACTTTATTAAATTATTAGTTTGAAAAATATTATAGTTGTTTTGATTTTGGTGAAGGTGAATTGGAATTTTAAAAAAGTTATGCAGGGCGAGGTGGGGCGGGGACGGGGGCTAATGTGGCGGGGCAGGGCGGGGACTGGGGAGGGGTTGAAATTTAAACGGGTATAGGGGCGGGGATGGGGGTAAAAAATTTGACTGGGGATGGGAATGGGGAATGAGATCCCCGCCCCATTGCCATTCCTATATTTATATACATAATTGGTGAAAGTATTTTTGTCTTGGTATATTTAATTTTGTACTTATGATATATTGGGTATTATTAAGATTTGTAATTTTAAATTGAATTTTGTAAATTTGTGGTTTTTTGATACTAAGGAAGCAAGTTGGGCCCGTGTCTAAGAGTCAGTGTTCAAGTCATCCCCTCTCCCCCTCCCCTCTATCACCAACCCCTAAAATTATTGTCATGCAAAAAATAAAATTTTTAAAGAATATTATGTACATTTTTGTAACAAATATGTATTATTAAACACTATTATTGTTTTATGATATCAAATTTGTGGCAATAACAAATGTTAATAAACATCATTTATGCTTTTTATTTTCACTAAAGAAAACAAAATAATGTTTCTGCTTTCTTAAAACTACAAAAAAAAAGAAAACAAAAATGTTACTAAACGCACCCTTTATTAATTTTGCTCAACATTTTATCTTAATTTTTCTGTTTGTCCACTAATTTTGTCGGATTTGCTAACATTGTTTTCTGATGAATTGGGGAGGAGCTTGGTGAAGAGCAGACTGACCTATGGAAGGTTTAAATTCTGATGTTTGTTGATACCTGTGGAGAGCAAGGAATGCTTATACTTTTAACATGAATATTGCCCTGAGTGGAGAATAATTATTCAAGTTGCTACGGTGGATTAATATCTGAATATGAGGAGACTTTGAATACATCAATTCTTGGGACAACATAAGGATAATGTCAAAAGACTGGAATGAGATTATGCAAACAAAAAATTGGTTGCTTTAAGGCAAATCTGGACATTGTCTCTACCCTCATTTTAATGAGAGAAAAAAATAAAAATTAAAACTAACATACCACTCCAAAACCAAGACTTAAATCAATCAAGTCTTGTTGAAAAAAAAATTACTGATGTGCAAATTTGAGAGAATTCAAGTATTGTCCTTATGTTATGGATGAGATGTAAATGTTTTTTTTTTTTTTTTAATCCGAATAATTAAGCAAAAAGTAGTTACATATGGGCCATATGGCATTCGGCGGAAAAGAACCCAGGAAGCTGGAAGCAAGCCCAATATATGAGCACAAGCCATGAGAAACCCAGCCCAATGACGCCCATAAAATACCCTAGTTTACGGATTAACAGGTAGTAGTGAAAGTAGGATACTTGCACAGTCCGCAATACTTGCCGCATAAATTTCATCAACTATCCCATTTTATTGCAAATTACCGTAATACTTAGATTATTTTTATTAAATAATTATAATACTCTCTTTATTGAATTACACTTAATATATATTTTTTATTAAAATAAATTATAAAAAAGTATTTATACTAAGTTAATGACATATTTTTCATTAATTCTAAATAAATTTACCTTTAATTTTTTAATTAATTTTTAAAATAAAAATCTGAAGTAGAAAATTTTAAAAATATTTAAATAGTTTCTTAATTTTTCATGAAAATAATGCATGAAAAAAAAGATATTTTTTATTTAAGTAATTAATTAATTTTTTAAATATACTGTATGAAAAAAGAAGGTAATTTTTTTTTTCTTTGTTTTAAAAATGATAATTAAAATCAATTTATTTTTTCAATTTTTATAATAAATTGATACTAATAATAAAATTAAGGTAAATGATATAATTAATATTTATATATGAGAAAAGATTAAAAAAAAAAATTATTAAGGAATGACAAATTTAATAAGAAATAGTTAAATAGTCATTTGGAATGAGTTTTGTTTTTAATGGTAATAAATTAATAGTTCAAGAAATTATTTATAAAAGGATTTCGGACTTTTTGTGTTTTATTCTTAAAAATAAAACAAAAATAAAAGTAAATACCTTGGGAAAAAAGAGTTGATTGCTTTGCTTGCACATGGAAGCAAAGAATCTGAAAATATGTTGACGTAGAATAGAAGTGAATATTCTGTCGCTAAAGTATCCACGTGGGTTTGGTCAAAGTTCCACAGTCCGTGATGGGGTTGTAACGGCTGTCTCATCAAAACGGCCTGTCTGCCGTTGGCGGTTGTTCCGCCACACCTCGCGGACGCCAACGCCCTCAATTAATTGAATTGGATTGGATGGGATGGGATGGGTATTAAAACCTACTAGTACGATATTACTAGTAATTAATTAATAAGTTCCATTCATTAAATAAACGAGTCAGAAGTCAAAAGGAGAGTAGGGACGTACCCTCGCCTGTCGAAAGGAGCTGCGTAGGGACAACACTTCCTATCATAAACAGTATTAACTTTTACTTTCTTTTTTAATTATCTCACATATTTGTGAATTACAAAAAGGGATAAAGGTAATAATATCACTATTTTATCATTCAAATTTCTAACGCTCTCTCTATTTAGCCCACTTTAGTATGCTTAGTATTTACGCAAATCATTAATATTAATTATAGATTAAGTTTTATTTGAAATATTCATAAGAATCTAAACTTGATCCACCACTAAAAATTGTGCATCTAATTAACGCCGCATCAAATGGTGTAATTTCTGTATCTCAAAAAATAAGTGAAGGGTTCAAAATTTCTCAAACAACTTGCACTCCTCTGCATTCAGTTGCGACTTCTCTCAAGCAACTTGTAAAATATAAGTGTGAGTACTTGTCTAAAATAAAAAAAAAGAAAAAAAGAAAAAAGTCTTACAACTCCCTTTGTTTTGACGTAATATATCTTTTTCAGGTAAAATATTTTTTTATTTTTACTTTATCAGTATTTGGCAAAAATTTAGGTCGAGATTGAGGTTGAATCCATCGGGCAGGCATGTAAAATAACTTGTCAAAAATTTATAGATAAATTATTTTTATTAAATTTTAAAAAAAAAATTTCATAAATATTTTACGACAATCAAACACCACTACACTAAAAAATAAAAAAAATATTTTTTAAAAAATATTTTACGTCCAACCAAACGGAGCCTACGTGTTAAAAACACCACACAGACATAAAAAGAACATAATTCAACAACAAAATAAAACTCACTTAAGATGTGATATTTACCAGCACGTTTTTTATTTTTTATTTTATTTTTATTGAACCAGCAGGTCAAGCGCCTTTGGAACGCCTAAATCCCGTAATCTGTCCCTAAACAATTAAGTGGTTTTAGAGTGTAATTAAACGTAAAACCATTGTATTAGAAGAGAACATAATGTTCTATTTTCAGAATTGTTTTTTTTCAATTCTATCCATTTTAATTTTAAAATTTCATTTATTTGTAGCCGAATACATTAGTTAAGATTTTCGTTTGTAGAATTCATGCAATACTTCTTATATTATTGTCCTTATTTTCCTAGCTTCCCATCATAATGGAACGTATTTATTGGTCCTGCATACCATTTCAAATCACGAAAATTGGTCTACAACATTTATTGCTTCTGCGGCATACAAGTAGCCATGGAAGTTGGCACAAAGCTGTTTATCTGGGCCTGCCTTTGTGAGATTGGATCACCACAGTGGCTTGGGCCATCAGTGGGTTTCTTGAGAATAAGGCCCATGTTTCATTTTTATAACTCATTGCTTATTTTTATAGGCCTAGACCCATTTGATCCCAAAGACAGGCCCATAAAAAAAACCAGCCCTTGACCGAATACGATAAGGACCCAACTTATTTTCTGGCCCATTTACTTTGGATTATGAAATCTGATTGTCACCACTACCTTGACATCTAATCCACTGCATCAAATGCCCCATTAATAATCTGAAATTAACTGATATTGCTTCATGTTTAGATACTGTCGCTGATATCATTTAAGGAAGAGCAAAAATACATTTGTTACATTTGGTAGTACCTAAATCTATTTAAATTTTAAATTCAAACTGTGGATTTGTTGATTCCAAATATAACAATTCTATAAACACAAAGTCTGATGAAAATATACTCAATTAATTTACAGATAAAGTGGTACCCCATCAAATAAATTAGCTTAAACAAAAGGAAAGTTACAATTGCAAATTTGACCTTATAAGCTTGAATGAAGCTTAATTAGTAGCTACTTTTACATTTTACATAGATGAGTTGTAAAGAAAAACATAGCAAACTTTCACAAATAAAATATACATGAAACTGACATAAGAACACAATTAGACATGATATATATATATATATATATATAGACACCCTATTTAAAATAGAATTTCATGGACATCAATAAACTACTACTAGCTACTTAATTAGAAGCAGAAAGGGGTTGGAAGCCAGCTTGGAACAAGGCAAGTAGTTTATCTCTGGGAGGCAAATTTTGGTTGATGACACTGAGCTTAGTAAACTCATCAATCCATTTGCATAATTTGGGAAATTTTTGTTTTGTCAACAACTCAACTTCCATAACTTCTTCAATAACTCCAACCCAAATTCCAAGGAAGTTAGCAACAATGTCTACAACTCCAATACTTTCTCCTCCGAAGAACATCTTTTCCTTTCTTTCTAGCTCTTCTTCAAGGGGTTTAAGGAGCTCACTTGCTTCTTTGATGGCCTTCTCTTGTTCCTCTTCATCTCTGCTCCGATAAGCCTTCACTACCGCCGGCCGAAACTTAAAATAAAAAATAAAAAATCCTTAATTAGATCTTATGTGATACAGATATATATACTTGATTAACTCAAGCTTGTTAGTTGACGTGTAACTGATAGTTGAAAGCTCTATAGCCATTTGGATGGTGATTTTTGTCAGTTGGCTGGTTTACGAACGAAACTATTCCAAGAAAAAAGTTATAACCCGTCAATTTGGCCTTCTAACAATCTAAACGGACCATACAGACTTCCCAATAATTATTAGATCTTATGTGATACAAATATGTATATTTGATTAACTCAAGTTTGTTAGTTGATGTGGAACTGATTGTGGAAACTTATATAGTCATTTGGATCGTAATTTTTGAGAGTTGGTCTCTTTAAGACAAGGAAGGAGGAGTCTTGTGGGGTCAAAAGGCCCAAATCGATGACATAAATTAACAAACCTTAGCAATACAGCATGTTATCATAAAATAACATTTAGACTTAAAAAGAGGAAACAAAGTTTACCTTGTCATCTATGAACTTAGCCCAAAAACGGGCCATGGCTCTCTCATAAGGATCTTCCGGGAAAATGGGAGTACCTTTCCAGGTGTCGTCGATGTATTCTAGAATAACAAGAGATTCGACGATTCGCTTTCCGTTGTGCAAGAGCACTGGAATTTTCCTGTGAAAAGGGTTGTACTTAAGATGCAAATCGGTCTTGTTAGAGAAATCTTCTTCTATGTACTCATATTGGACACCTTTTAGTTTAAGAGCAGTCTCAACTCTGTGACTAAATGGGCTACTCCAAACACCAAACACTTTTACTATCTCTGGACCCATTACATTAGTTCTCACTACCTACCTCTGATATTGTGGTGAAGTATTTGATGCAACTAGTTTCTGTTTTTCCTTTCTCCTGTTGTTATATATATATATATATACACACACACACACAGAGAGAGAATTAGAGCAGTAAGGGTGCATTTGTCCATCCCGATTTGAGTCTTCAGAAAGTATACAATACTCCGGAGGTATTTACTATAAGACAAATCATGCATGTTAATCAAAGGGGACAAACAAGCACTAGCTCCTATTTAAAGACGCGTGGTATGGAGTTAAAATATATGTGTAATTTAATCAATTTAAATTTGTATATCCATAAATCCGTGGCTGGAGACTTCTAAATTGAGTAATTAAAATGTGGAAAATCAAATGTCATCTTCAAATTCTTGTCAAGAAACCCTTTCTAAATCCAATTCAATTTTAATTATGAATTTTCCACCAATGGGTTAATGGAGAGAAATCACGGAGATTCATTCAGCCGCAATCCTAAATTGCTAGGTTTTCAAAAATAATTGTGGTATGGGGTTGCTACCGCATTGATGCATGTATCTAACTTATATATATATATATATATATATATAATTGGAGTAGATTTGAGAATTTTTTACTGAATTATTAAAATTTTTAAATAATCCTGAACTATTATTTTAACAATAAACATCTCTTTAACTTTCTTTAAATCATGCAATTTATACTCTCTTGCTGTTTACGAAACGTCAGAAATATGGACGAAATAAACACGTGACATTTTAATTCTAAAATTTCCTTCTCTCTCATAAATATGCCTTTTGGTCATTCTTAATCTATTTTAAATGGAAAAAAAAAAGGTTGGATGTTTCGGTGTTATCTTCCATTGAGTAGGCAGGGGCGACTCGAACTTGGAACCGTAGGCGAAAAATAAAAAGTAGCATTTTCATATCATAATATGTCATACATTAATTATTAAATAAATAATTAATATATTTGTATTAATATTTTTTCATTGTCCAAGATCATATATATTTGTCGGAATGGTCTTAGAATATGATATTCGATTACTTATTTCACTTTCTTCCAATTCTTTTTGTTATTCTTGATTATTATTGTGAATCAAATCACTGGTATATTTTTTCTTTCACTATTATATAATCTTCTAATTTTTTTTAGATGATTTGATTGTTCATTTGCTGAACTTTCACCTAAATTTTTGGTTAGGTTTTGATTATTAATTGTAACAAATTATCAATAACTTCCTTTTGAGATTGAATTAGTTTATCTATTCTTTTTTTTCTTTTTCTTTTTTCAAGTTTTTCAAATACTTTCTAGCAACCATATTAAAAAATATGGGTAAAAATAGTCACAAGACTCATAACTCACAAACAAATATAGACAAACAAATATGAAAAATATAAATATATACAAATTTATAATAACAAAAGTTAGTAAAACAAAAAAATAATTAAAGAAAAAAGAACAATATAACCTGATTTAGAAAATTTCAATTCAATGCTACTGTAACTTCTTCAATAAAAGAAAAGTGTGTTCAAATTGAGATTTGAGACTAATGAATATTGAGTCCAGATGAAAAAAAAATTGTAAAGTTGTAATGATAAAGGATTAAGAAGGGAGATTATTTGTAACTTGTAAGTAACTTGTTGAGTTTGCTGAGAAATGAGAGAAATCATAATGAACGTGAAGATTAGGAATAGGAATAAGAATAAATAAATAAATAAAATAAAAAAAAAAGATTATGAAAAGTTTCTTCGCTTCCCAATACAACGGCTATATATTTATTGCGGTGCAAATTTTCGAACTGAAAAAATATTAAATATATATAGTGCTGGTGTAAAAAAATACGTGTACAAGATAGATAAAGAAATAATATATTAATGAGATATTTTAGGAGATAAAAAAAAATGAGATATTTTAGAAGATAAATAATTTCTCGCCTGGTTAAAGTTTAATGAAAAGGCGTGAATGATGAAAAAAAAAAAAAAGGAGTTATTTTGGAAGATAAATTTTTTAAAATTAGTGTTCAATAAGGAAACAATTACAATATATTATGTACAAGACAACTATAATATTTTGGGGCCTTTTTATTGGCTGGGGTCTTAGGCAGCCGCTTAACTCGCCTAAGGCTCGAGCCGCCCCTGTGAGCAAGGTTACTTGGTTTTGTGGTGAATAGTGCAACATGCAATGCCGAAGGCTTCATAGGGATCATTTTTTCAACGAGTTTTTAGGAAGATTTGATTGTAGTAAAGATATATACTTAATATTCTTTGTGTGTAATTTCTCGAATTAAGGTAGAACGTTACTTTGTACTGATTGATTTTATTAGTGGAAGATTATTGTAAGTTTGGCTTGTGATTTTTTCCCTCTACATTAAAGGATTTTTCCACATATATATATTTAGTGTCTCTATGTGCATGATACTCGAGCAAAAAGATTATACCAATTTGTTAGGTAGAATGTACGTGGTACAAAAAGACAAATTAATATGGCAATCAAATAGTCTCAGTAGCATGTCTATTAAAATAATATAAATTTTCAAAAATAAAATTACCCTTATATTACCTTCTTGTATTCATCCTCCCTTTTTTAGGATTACTTGAAATCATAGTTTAAAAAACAACTATAATTAAAAATTTCTTAAATTCCTTTTGTAAATTTTATTAGAACACTAAGTCTCTCTAGATAGATAGATGTATAATAATATATAAATTTCTAAAAATATATCATCAGAATATATGTATGTATATGTATATATATATATATATATATATATATATATATAGATTCTTAAGCATACCTGTCCCGCCCGGATTTTTTTGGCCCTCTCCTAAGAGTTTTATTGAACACTTACAAGTCAGAAAAGGGGGCTTGATGCAACGGGAGGCTGCGGTCGATTGATTATTTATTTGGAGTCGGGCCAAATTTACTAATATTTGGAGTCGCCACTTAACATGGATTTTAGGGTGTGTTAGGTCACCTAAGTAATGTTTAAAGACTTGGGAAAATAGATAATTATATAAACAAATGAGAGGTCTAATATGGGTCCTAACATATTTGACATCCACTTAGTCTACAAAATCACAGTAGAGAGTTCCAGGCCACGACACCCGTGGAACACGGTTACCTATATTACATTCCTACAAAGATAAATATGTGTATAATTTGATAATGAAAGAAAATTTATTTAAATGACTTAAAAGACTAACATCACCTATATAAAAATAAGATCTTTGTTTACAAGTTTTATAAAAAAATATATATATATATAAATCCTAGATGATGACATGACGGAATGGAGTAACTTAGGTTGCCTACATACCTCATCACATAAATAGAGGTCAAATGTAATTCAATTAGCATTAACATTATGGAGAACTTGAATTACAAAAATAGTTTAACTTTAAGCATAGTCGCTCAACATTATTTATTTTATTTTTATAAGAGGGCCTTCTTATTAAAAGGTTCAGGAAAAGTGATACTTCAGAAAGATGACGGTTAAAGTTTAGGAGAATAGTTACTCAGACCATGTAGTTATATTATATATATATATATATATATATATATATATATATATATATATATATATATATAGAAGTATATCAAAAGTGATAACCATTATTTACAACCATCTTTAAAAGAAAAATATCCTTTATGAACTTTAGAAAGGTTCCGATGACGTTAAACAAGTTCAATAAAGAGTGAAAGAAAAATAAACAAATAATTTATATGAAGTTGATCTATTAGTCTTAAAATTGATAAGGCGAATATGTTTAAAATATATATGTTTTAGTTACCTTGAAAGCAAGAACGAAACACGGTTACCTTATTTCTATATTGCATTCCTACAAAGATAAATATGTGTATAATTTGATAATTAAAGAAAATTTATTTAAATGACTTGAAAGATTAACCTTATCTATACAAAAATAAGATCATTGTTTACAAGTTTTATAAGAAAATATAAATAAATATAAATCCTAACATAACCAAATCTAGGAGTAACTTAGGTTGCCTACATACCTCATCGCACAAATAGAGAGGATCAGGTCAAATGTAGTTCAATTAGCATTAACATTATGGAGAACCTGAATTACAAGAATAATTTAAGCATAGTCTCTCAACATTATTTATTTTATTTTTATAAGAGGACCTTCTAATTAAAAGGTTCAGGAAAAGTGATACTTCACGAAGATGGCGATTAAAGTTTAGGAAAATAGTTATCCAGACTATGTATGTTATATTCTATATATATATATATATATATAGAAGTATATCAAAAGCGATAACCATTATTTACAACCATCTTTAAAAGAAAAGGAATATTTAATTCTAATGAAAAATATCCACTTTAGAAAGGTTCAGATGACGTTAAGCAAGTTCAATAAAGAGGCAAAGAAAAATAAACAAATAATTTATATGAAGTTGATCTATTAGTCTTAAAATTGCTAAAGCGAATATGTTTAAAATATATATATTTTAGTTACCTTGAATGCATGAACCTAAAACAAATAGTTTATTTAACAAAAATATAAAGAAAGATATTACTTATATAAATTGGATTATAGAAAAATAAAATACCCATATATAAATTGGATTAGATAATTTTTCTCAGACATAAGATTTATTTGTTAGGAAAAATAATGATTGTTTTAAAGATAATACTAATCCTTTTAGGAAAAAAGATAAGACCACTTTCTTTTAGTTTAGAAGGATAATTCTAGTTCCAGGATGAATCTGCTGATAGAACATGCTACCAAGAAAACACTATTTGTCAGTACAAATTGGGTTCAAAAAGAAAACAAAACAATAAGATGATTCTTTTTAAAGTCAAAGAGCATTGGTTTATATTTTAGTGACCATTTAGTATTTTAAAACAAATTTTCCATGGTTTGAAACAAGTATCATTGAAACGGGTTATTTCTAATTTAATAAAAAAAACAAAACATAGTTCAAATCATGCATTCATTTCGGACATAAGAGAACCTGTACATGATAGTCGAGTTTAA